GGAACTGTGGACCAGCTCTATACCCTTGCAAGGGTGATGGAGGGGGCATGGGAGTTTGTCCAACCAATCCACATGTGCTTTGTGGATTTGGAGAAGGCTTATGACCGTGTCCCCAGGGGCACCCTGTGGGGGACGCTCCAGGAGTATGGGGTGGGTGGCTCTCTGTTAAGGGCCATTCAGTCCCTTTACCAGAGGAGCGTGAGTTTGGTCCGCATAGCCGGTAGTAAGTCGGACCTGTTCCCAGTGAGGGTTGGACTCCGCCAGGGCTGCCCTTTGTCACCGGTTCTGTTCATCACTTTTATGGACAGAATTTCTAGACGCAGCCGTGGTGTGGAGTGTGTCGAGTTTGGTGGCAGGAGAATCTCGTCTCTGCTTTTTGCGGATGATGTGGTCCTCCTAGCTTCATCCAGCTCTGACCTTCAGCTCTTGCTGGGTAGGTTCGCGACCGAATGTGAAGCGGCTGGGATGAGGATCAGCACCTCCAAATCTGAGACCATGGTTCTCGACCGGAAAAGGGTGGCTTGCCACCTCCGGGTCGGGGGAGAGGTCCTACCTCAAGTGGAGGAGTTTAAGTATCTCGGGGTCTTGTTCACGAGTGAGGGTAGGAGGGATCGGGAGATCGACAAGCGGATTGGTTCGGCGTCTGCAGTGATGCGGACGCTGAGCCGATCTGTCGTGGGGAAGAGGGAGCTGAGCCAGAAAGCCAGGCTCTCGATTTACCGGTCGATCTACGTCCCAATCCTCACCTATGGTCATGAGCTTTGGGTAATGACCGAAAGAACGAGATCGCGGATACAAGCGGCCGAAATGAGTTTCCTCCGTAGGGTGGCCGGGCTCAGCCTTAGAGATAGGGTGAGGAGCTCGGACATTCGGGAGGGACTCGGAGTAGAACCGCTGCTCCTCCGGATCGAAAGGAGCCAGTTGAGGTGGTTTGGGCATCTGGTCAGGATGCCTCCTGGACGCCTCCCCGGGGAGGTGTTTCGGGCATGTCCTGCCGGCAGAAGGCCCCCGGGTCGACCCAGGACACGTTGGAGAGGTTACATCTCCAATCTGGTCCGGGAACGCCTTGGGGTCCTGCCGGAGGAGCTGGTGGACAAGGCCGGGGAGAGGACGGCCTGGAGCTCCCTAGTTGGGATGCTGCCCCCGCGACCCGGACCCGGATAAGCGGAGGAAGACGAGACGAGACGAGAGACGGGTTTCTTTATCTTTTTCAGTGTATCCCAATTTACCTTTTTAAATCTATTGATAAAACTTTAATCTCATTTATATGGGATGGGACCAAACCTAGAATACGGTTGGATCTGTTACAGAGGCCTAAAAACCTAGGTGGCGTAGCCCTTCCAAATTTCTGTCATTACTATTGAGTCTCAAATGTTCAAAAATCATGTATTGGCTCCGTACCCCCGATGAAGACTGGTGCCAAATTGAAGCGCTGTCTTGCATCTCCACTTCTCTTAGAGCCTTGGTCACCTCCAGCCTACCGATTCCTTCACCGCAGCACACCAGCAGTCCTATAGTTATTGATACCCTCAAAATATGGGCTCAATTTCGAAAGAACTTTGGGTTTAAAAACCTTCTCCATTTGAGCCCCATACACAATAATCACCCCCCCCCCCCAGCCAGATTAGATTCTGAATTTGCTATTGGCAGAGACGAGGCATCCATAATTTTTCTGACATGCACATAGACGGTGTTTTGGCAAATTTTCAGTACTTGTCACACAAATTCGACCTCCCTCGGTCTAGTTTATTTAGATACTTATCGGATTAGATTTGTGCCAGTAGGATCAAGAAAAACACTTTGAAGATCAAACAAATATTAAAACATTGAGAGAAAAAAAAGTTTCAAAAGAAAAACTTACGATCTGAATCAACTTCTTAAAATGAGTAACAATGAGTGAGTTTTTAATACGTCTCTCTGGAACAATAGACCATTGTCCTGAGGCTAGCACAATGGCTTGCTTAGCAGCTAGCTAGTGAGCTAGCGTCTGGTTAAAACCAACTTAAAAAGTGGCTTAACTTACAGATTAACTAAGAAAAGATAAAATATATTATCAATACTCACTTTAGATCCTCAGTAGACACCACAGACAGCAGAAATAATGTGTTTGGGGCTCAAAATTCATGTTGCTGACCAGGTGGAAAAAAAATGTCTTGGAGGCTACATCACTTCCAGGTCACTGAACTGTCACTCAAGAGAAACCACTGTCCTATGGGAGAGGACTTCTCAGAAGTCCCACCCACCCAAAAGGGTTGTGTCAGAATTGCAACCAAAAACTCAGGGATTGCAAAGGAGAAAGCCAGAAAATCTGGTAGTGAGAGCAAAGCTGTGAGCAGCGAGAACGAAACTAAGGAAACTGATAACAAAAACACATAGAGGCAAACAGAAAAAGGAAACATACTTTGTTACTCATTTTAAGAAGTTGATTCAGATCGTAAGTTTTACTTTTGTAACATGTTTTTTTCCTTTAGTCGATATTTTTGTTCTGTCAATTTCTTAATTTTTGTTTGACTGACAAAGTGTTTTTCTTGATCATTTTAAGAATCTGATTCAGATCGTAAGTTTTTCTTTTGAAACGAATGTTTTTTCTCTCAATGTCTTAAAATTTGTTTGCTCTGCAAAGTGTTTTTCTTGATCCTATTGGCACAAATCTAATCCCATAGATACTTTCATGTTCGCCATTTCCTTCAGCATAGTAACCCTAACTTCCCAAATATATTACCAACTACTGGTAAAGATAATCTGCTGAAATCCACATTTGAGTCTAAAGGTCGTATCTCAAGAATTAGCAATTGTATAGCATCCTTTAGGAATAAAACAATGGCAAAGATCAGAGCAGACTGGGAGGATGAGCTGGGGGTTCCCTTGGAGGAGGAGACTTGGGAGAGTGCTCTTTTAAGAGTAAATAACAGCACTGCATGAGCCAAATTTAGCATAATACGGTTTTAGATCCTACACCGTACTCATTACTCCAAGGCAAGACTGGCTAAAATATTTACAAACATGATACAAGCTGTGAGAGATGTAGAAATCCCTCTGCAGATTTAACGCATATGTTTTGGTCATGTCCAACTTTAAAAACCTACTGGTCAGCCATTTTCAAAACATTGTCTGAAGCAATACATGTTGAGCTTCAGCCCAATGCAGCTATGGGTATATTTGGTGCCATTGATAGAGGACATCGCTTTCACTACGCTGCTTGCGTGCAGAAGGATTTTATTGCATTGGAAGTCAAAAAGCCACTTAAAGTCGCTTTATGGTTTAGCGGCCTGACACAATTTATACAGTTGGAAAAGATAAAGTATGCTCTCAGGGGGTCCAATGAGAGACTCTTTGCCATTTGGGGTACATTGCTAAAACCAAAAAGAGCATCTCAGGCTTACAAATTCTACAAAATTCGGCAGCACGTGTCCTGATGAAGACCAGGAGGCGGGAGCACATGACACCAGTTTTAGAGTCATTGCATTGGCTCCCCGTGTGTTTCAGGATCAATTTTAAGGTTCTTCTAATGGTTTTTAAGTGTCTTAACGGTCTTGGGCCTTCTTATCTATCAGAACTGCTTTTACAATATGAACCCTCGCGGCCTCTGCGCTCGTCTGGCAGGCGTCTCCTGGCCATCCCTAAAGTCAGGACACAAACTCACGGCGAGGCGTCCTTCCAGTGTTTTGGCCCTCGCCTCTGGAACGAGCTGCCAGAGGACCTCAGGGCCACAGAGAACGTTCATGTTTTTAAGTCAAGACTCAAGACCCATCTATTTAGGTTAGCTTTTATCTAAATATTTACTACAGTTTTATTTCTCGTTTTACATGATTATATTTTATTACTTGCTTTGCATGTTCTATATAATTATACTTTAGCACAGTTTTATTATTTAAATTATTATTTTACTGTCTATATCATTTTATTTATTACTTATTTTCTAACTTTTGTCATTTATATTAGCTCTTTTATTACATTTTTACTCATTTTAATCCAGTGTTTCCTCTGTAGGGGCCCTCTGCCCCGGGAGCGGTGGTCGACTGTAGCTTCCTGGGTGCTCTATAGGTGGGGGTCTATGCTCCCCCTCCTCTGAGCGCCCTGACTTAGTGTGGAAGACCTGATGCTGCCGGGGCAGACGGCTCCTCTGATGGCGTTTCCTTGTGTTACCATACTTGGCTCATCTGGACTCAGTCAAATATATATTTTACTTGTGTCTGTGTGTGTGTGTGTGTGTGTGTGCTTGCATATGTCTATTAATGTTTTTAACCTGTTATGGGAATCTGGGGTCATTTTGTAAAGCACTTTGAATCACACTGTGTTTGAAAAGCGTTTTATAAATAAATTTGATTGAATGATTGATTGAAAACATCTAGAGAAAATCAGAACCATACCCGTCTGAGTCGTCCAGCGGCTGCCACATATCTTCTTTGTGATTGTGATTAATTTTGTGTAAATCGTTTCTCTTTAAGTGCACATTTTTGAATATGGTTAATTTCTTGTGTGTGTGTGTGTACTTCATCTAAATCCACTTAACTCATTTATTTATGTATACTTTTACTCCAGTCTGGATCGACGTCCAACATGTTCTTGGGGTGGGGTTATTATACAAATAGGAGCATTGTGGCTGTGCTTTGTGTCTATCTTTGTACTACAATGTTAATGCTCAATTTAAAAAAATTAATTAATTAATTAATTTTAGCTTTTTAGATTTCATTTGATTTTTAGGCAGTTTCTTTGTTGCCATGGGACTGTGGATGATTTTTTGCAAATGTACACACTACTATACATGCAGTATTATGTCAATTATGGAAACATAAAATATGTAAAAAGTGCGGTGGCTCTCTTGTGAATGATGCACTGTAGTGTAAAGCGCTTTGGAGTCCTTACTCTGAGAGGCGCTATACAAGTGCGGGTCATTTATCATTTGTGGGGGGTGGGCAAGGTATGTTTTGCCTGGGGCCCCCAAAGGCCTTTAAACAGCCCTGAAAACACGCGACTGTTGGTGCAGGTGTGTGTTTTACCCGGTCCAGCTCCAGGGTAAACTTCTGGTCCCAGGCCTGGTTGCTGGCCGGTCTCCAGCTCGTCTGTCCCACTACGGTGTTGTCCAGCTTCAGAACTGCACTGATCTCATCTGAGGGAACACACAGAGCCGTTAGCAGAACCGGTTCACATGATCAGCAGTGTTTTCCTTCCATAGGCTTTACTGGGGTGTTGACTTCAAAGGAAGGCAGCAGTGGAAAATGTACTTTTTCATTTACATGTATTAAGGTATAGATGAACAGTGTTTACGATTTTAAGTACAGTGGGATGCAAAATGTTGGGCAGCCTGGTTAATCTTCGTGATTTTCCTGTATTGTTACGATAAAACAATAAGTTAAAGATATCACATTGGAATACACACAGTGAGAAGTGAAACTAAGTTTATAGGATTCACATAAAGTGTGCAATAACTGTTGAAACAAAATTAGACAGGTGCATATATTTTATTCTACTCAATATTTAGTAGATCCTCCCTTTGCAGAAATAACAGCCTCTAAACGCTTCCTAGAGCTTCTAATGAGAGCCCGGATTCTGAAGGTATTCTGGACCATTTTTCTTCACATCTCCAGTTCTTTCAGGTTTGAGGGGTGAGCATGGTGAAAAAAAGTATAAAATGTTTGATCACACATGTAATCCATATCAGAGTCATCTTTATGTTAATCTTTATATTCATTTCTGTGTTCTTACGTGACGTGTGTACCTTTAAAGTGTAACTAAACTGCAAAATAACATTTTTGCATATAAACGGTATAATTAGGTCTTTACAAACGTAATCTTTCTGGTTCTGTGCATTTTTGACATGTTAGTGTAAACTTGATTAAATCTAGAATCTAGGTCTAAAATCGTCTTAGTGCTGCCCCCCTGTGGTAGAACAGCGGATACTGCATTTTAAACTTGTGATTGGCTGGGGCTGGAACAATTTCATGTCATCGGTACAGCCTCCTCCCAGTGTCGGTACAAGATCGGCTCGGGTTAAAGATCGGCTCGGGGTCCGTCGACTGCCGATGACGTCAAAGTAGTTGATTGGCTGAACATGAACCTTACGGCATTACGTAATCACGTTACGTTGTTATCACATTACGTTGGTCCAGGCAAATCTTTCTGTTGGAAAGATGGACAACTTTTACAAAGAAATCCATCATTACCTCTTTGAAAATACACTTTTAGCATAGAGCTGCATGTATATTAGGGCTGAACGATTAACTGCATGTGCAATTAAATTGCGATGTGACAAAAGGAGATTTTCTAATCGCAAAGGCTGCAATTTGGCAGCGAGTGGTTAGCGCAATGCTAATATACATGGAAAAACCCATAGGAATGCTAATGCTAATATCACCGATTACATTCTTACAAATTATGAATTAGAAACGTGCCAAATGATTACATTTGGAGTCTAATAGAAAGTAAAACTATCATCCATCAAATAAGTACAGACAGGTATTTTAGTAAAGCCAGAAAACTTTTAACTCCAGAGTTTTGGCTAGCAGCTATGAGCGTACCTGAACTACGCATGGACAAGACGTCAAAAACTCTAAACACAAAATACTTCAATAAACGGGACACACTTCTTTCCTGCAAATACAATTTCACAGGTGTTGCTAATACCTATGATCCTTCAAGGGATGTGCTCAAAGAGGAGTTCAACATTATGAATAAAATAGTGTTTTATTTTACAAATACCATTATAAACACAAACTTACGTCTTAAGAAACATTATTTTAATAACGAAACTGCTAAATTCTTTCCATCAGTATAGGTGTGTAGTGTATTTTGTCCGAGTGGGTTTGCCGTACTTTGACGTCATCGGCAGTCGAAGGACCCCGAGCCGATTTTGCACCCGAGCAGATCTTGTACCGACACCGGTCCTCCTCCCACGCGGGAAGCGTCATTCGGAATTGTAGGATGTCCAAGGAAGGTTCCACCTTTCTCGCTTCTGATTGGCTGAAAAGGGCTCTCTTACGATCGGCGATTTCATGTAAGAGGAAACCATTTTCCCTCGCTCCAGGGTTTTTATGTTTACAGCCAGATCTTGAGTTTTATTTTATTTTTTATTTTTTTTGAGAAAATGTGAACAGTTCCTAAAAATCCATTCAGAGACATTTGTACACTTCTACAGCTGTCTGGGGTTACGTTATTAATCAGTTGTCCACTAGGTGACATCCAGTGTATCTCAAAGAAATAGCTCAGCTGGTAAGGCTTCACGTCGAGGACCCGAGTTTGAATCAAGGCTTGGACGTATGAGATTTCCACTTAGGTGGCACACAGAAATGTTATTCCAGTAATTATATTTTATTACAGTAATGATTTATATTTTACAATAATACAGTAATAAGAAGCCTACATTTGAATTATTAAATGTACAAATGAATTAAATATAACGCTGATTATAATTTAGACCTATTTTTCAGTAGTTTTAATTATTCTAGAAGAGAATCAGACCTGTTGCACACAGCTAGGCAAAATAGGCCATTTTTATTCAAGCCTATTTCATACGAAGGTAAGGCACACGTGTTTATCCCATGCACTCTAATTAAAGAGCCAACAGATATAAAGTAAGTCCAACAGTGTGGTAAATGCAAAAATATTTATTATAAGTTCACAATCTGTTTTTCAGTTGTTTAAATTAAAGACACATAAAAAATACATTACTTAACAAGACAGAATGGTTATCATAGCGTCAAGTTCACATTGTCTCCCAAAATTCCCCCAAACAGCTGTTCTGCTGGTGGCAGGACAACAGTCTGCACTTAGTGAGGGAAGATTGTTTGCTGCTAAATGAAACAGCCAATCGTAGTAAAGCCCTTCTAGCCAACCAGAGGCGAGAAAGGTGGGATCTTCCTTGGACATACTATGATTCCAAATGATGCTCCTGGGGGAGTCCCCACACTTGGCCGTGCTTCTCCGTGCCTCCTGGCAACGCCCACTTTCATGGCCTTTTCTTCTTCTTCTTAGACTGAATGATACATATGTTATGTAGCGTCATGAATGTCCTGTTTTTGACCTAAAGGTCATGATCTGCTGCGTCTGCTCGAGCAGAGACATAAAGTCTCTGACAGCCTAATCTACATGAGATAGTGGCCAAGGTCTTTCATGCACTCTGCTCATCTGAACTGATTTACCAAGTGAGAACGAGGAACTATTCTGATAAATACATAATCAACAACTTTGTTATTACCAATAATAATGTGAGCCCAATGTTCAATCAATCTGTGAAATGACAATGTTATTACTTGATATTATAATCCTGTGATCAGTAGTATTTTATAAGTTATTATAATCCTGGACATTTGCACTAGACACCGATGACACGTAATGCTAAAGTCACACGACACATTTCCTTTTGTCTGATCCAATCAGAACCTTCGTTTCTGGCTAGGCGTGGTTATCTGTGGTGTTTGTATAAACCCTCTTATGCATGTCACATTCTGATTCGCCAGTAAACCAAAATATGACAATTATAAAAACTATTCCACACCACCTTTTCTTTAGTTCAAGCGTTCTAGAGAAGTCTCGGACCGGCCATCCGGACTTCCTCTTCAGCCAAAAGAACCTCGACAAGCTGGATAAAATCTGTTGCAAGTTACACCTGACCGCAACGGTTCCTTCAGAATAAAAGCTGAACCTCACGACCCCTTCAGGGTCTCGGAGACGCCAGTGAACCTGTCGTGACCTGGAAGCATTCCAAGACTAGTCTGGTCGGCACCGCTGCTTTTCTACCAGCTTCGGTACCAAGGAGGATCCAAGAGGACCTCGACATTCTGGATCTGATGGAGGCTTCCCCTGGGGTACGTAGACCGACAGATGGTGTCTCATGTGTGTTATAAATCTACTAAAGTTTAGAGCGAAACATTCACTCCCACTCAGAACTAACTGCTTCTCCGGATCCACTGGTTCTGAATAACATTCCACACACACACCATCACCTCACGTCTCACTCCACCTTAGTCCATCAGTACACAGAGTGTTTAAGTTAGTCTGGTTTAAATTGTGTAGAAATAAATTTCTTAACTATTATAAACCTGACTCTCTCTCTTTCCTCGGAGTTAATACGAAGTGTCGCTTAATCCCTGCAATAAAAAGTTCTGATCTTCTGGTTAAAATATTCAAAATCCATCAGATTGATATTTCATATTTCTATGGAATCTCACATTTTATGGTTCATAAGTAAGACGTAAACGACCCATCCTTTACAGTTACGTGCACTTTGATCCTGAATGATTCACTTGTGATTTGCACACTCTCATACTGAGTTTTACCCATATCTGATGTATGAAGTCTTATACTGGTTTAAGTTTCAGCTCATGCACGAGGAATCACATGCTAAGTGAAGGCCAGGTGCAGATTAAATAAACCAGAGGCTGTTCAAAGGCAAAGGCTAGGTCATAGGTCATCATAGTCGTATTGGAGGAGACAGGATGGGTAGCAGAGGGAGGCAAAGTGGACTACCATCTTATCTGGAAGATGGAGTAAAAACATAGAGGAATGCTAGTTACTAAGGCAACAGGTGATGTCCTTCAGCAAAGGTTAAGGAGGTGCCAGGAGGAGAACTTTGCAGCAGGATAGGAAATAAAATCTGTGCATTTTGTAAGAACAGATCCGATTTGTCAGAGGGGCTGGGAGGTGGCGGAATCTCCCCTAAATGCACACGGGTAAATAAAGTGTGATGATTGGACGTCTTCCTTCTTTTCTGATCACAGACTCTAACGAAACGGGAAGGTAGAAGAACGATGTGAGGAGTTACAGAGGACCAGAGACGACATCATCTTCTTTGACATTTTTCCCTTTCATGAGATTCATCATCTAAATATTTTTCCACAACAATTTGGAGGGGGCACCCGGACACAAGGAGATTATTTTTGGACAGCGGACGTCGAGGAAACTTATGGATCGCCTGCCCCACTGACAAGCGATGAAACCTGACACGAACAAAAGACGGACACGAGAGCTCTCATCGTAGCGGTGAGAAGCAGGCCCTGTTAAA